ATTATATATATATATATATATTAATTTTAAAATATAACTTTTGATTTTGGATTTTTAATCATGAACTAGAAATGATTAAAACACACAAGTAAATTTATGGACTTCCTGAATTCAAAATAGAATTTACTAAATATGAAGCCAACTGAAACAAAAATATGTCTGCAAACTATCAATACATTGTACTTTCTTGATCACTGGATACTATCTGTATCAATTCTTTTTTAAATCCTATACTGGCACAAGAAAGATAACTCCAATATTTATTACCCATTTGGACAACTACCCCTACTGAATTTCATGTTTTTACCACTCTTTGCATTCTGAAGTTATGAACTGCATCATTATTCCATTGATCACAAAAATGTTTTACAAAATGACCAATATTATCTATGGGCTTTTGGAGGTTAACCATGATTTCATTTAACTGTATGCTTATCACATACATGTCTTATTAGATTTCATTGTATAACAAATAAATCATGGTTATTTCTTGCCCAAACTTACACTGTGTTGTCTTAGTTTATAGCTGCAGTTCAGCAGCAATCAGTGTTAGGAAATTAATATATTATTAAACAGTGTTTAATTGTTATTAATTTATGTAACGTACTTCTCATGTTTTTTATGTCTATGTCACCATTAGCTTCGTATTCTTATGGTACTATTGCTTATTATGTAATATGTATGTGCAGTGTGTTTATATATTTATACAATAACTTACATGTTTGCATGTCTCAGATTATGTTTATTTCTGTTGATTATTATGTAATACATATGTGCAGTGTATGGGCTATATACTTATGCGATAACTTACATGTTTATTGTGTCTATCTTTATTAGTTTTATTATACGCCATTTTTGTTTATTATGAAATATGGGTCAATTGCCCCAATGCTTGATAACAATTGAGGGGTACCCTCTAGGGGGTAAATCAGATCGTTTACATAATTAGACAATAGGGGGGACCCTCTAGGGAATTAGGTCAATGGCCCAGTACCAGGCGCCCCCTGGTGGCTGGGCCCTTTTAAGCCAATCAGGGGTCAGATTTAGGAAATTTTAAATAAAAACAATTTAACTGACCAATCAGATAGCACAATCACAGGCTTACTATCCCTGACTTTGCAAGAAAGCGTCACTTTTTTGAAAAAGGGCAAAGGGGAAAGGCCACGAAATTTTTTTTTTTTTTTTTTTTTTGTATGAGAGCAGAGTGTGTGTGTTTGTAGTTAGTCAGAGGTTAACCATGATTTCATTTAACTGTATGCTTATCACATACATGTCTTATTAGATTTCATTGTATAACAAATAAATCATGGTTATTTCTTGCCCAAACTTACACTGTGTTGTCTTAGTTTATAGCTGCAGTTCAGCAGCAATCAGTGTTAGGAAATTAATATCTAAGATGTATTTCAACATTTAGAATAAGGCACAACTTTTCAATATGTAAAAAATCATATTGGTAGAAAAAATTACTGATGATGTTTAATTATTATCTATACTTATAAATTAATAAATTTTGCAAATAAACTCCGAAACGGGTGCACCAGAGTTCTTACTTACTCTTCTAACAATACACTAGATACAAGCTGATGTCCGTAAACTATATTTAGGTTTCACTCGCATAGTAAGTATCGTAGATTAAATTAAAAATCTACTTTCATTTTCTTTAAACAGCCATGAAATAGCTAAAACGTGAGTACGGTGGCGTTTCCGGTTGGCGGATCAAAGTTACTGGCAATTTTTAATGAAACTGACAACAATCAATCGTTTATTTATTACATAAAACGTCATCACTGATTTATTCAATCAAAATTCGATTTAAATGATATAAAAGAAATAAGTTGTGATAACCGATTAAAAAGGGAAATGTGCAAAATATTTTCGTCATTCACCGATCTTTATATTGACGGAAGCTTCTAGAACATCATATAGCATCGAGCCCGATGTTAAGAAAAAAACGAGGCGATTATAGCTACATGACCATAAAAAAAGCTTTTGTGTAAATGGTCATAATTGAAATAATGGTAAATCACTGATAACACTATAAGTTGTGATTATAATTATATATATCAAAAGACTATTACATATACATGTATGTAGTAGATTTTCCTAATAAATTTATCGGTAAAATTTGTATAACGTTATATTCCTTACTGAGAGCATCGTGGCAAGGAACCCAAAGTACAATTTGTACTTTGTAATAAACTTGCTTACATGAAAAGAGAAAATTAATGAATAAGGTATTGATCAAATACAATTAAAGATGCAAAATTTTGCGCTTTAATCAATGCACAGTTAATTTCTGAATACAATCTTTCATAGCTGCAATAATGTAGCCCTCTCCTTTTTTGAAAGGGGGAGGGGGGGGGGGGCAGAAAGATCAGATGAAAAAAAAACAAAACAAAACAAAACAAAAAACGGAAAGAGCTACATTATTGCAGCTTAGTCCTTCAAATACTCAGCCTATTCATAGGGCATTAAAAGCTAATTTTTACACAGGTACTTGGTTCTTGGTTTATAAATATGTATGTACCTTATTGATAGGTAAAAAAGTAAAGTACATTTTTACATATCAATAAGGTACAAATATATTCATAAACCAAGACCCAAGTACCTGTGAATTTTTAAATCTCCTCCCCCAATCAATTTATTAGTAAAAAGTGCATATTCCGCGTTGCTTTTATCCTTGACGGAAATAAGAGCATCTGGAGTACAATATCCATAACATAGTATAACAGGTTTCACAATAAACGTCAATTAATAAAATTGCTATTTTTCAAGTTTAAAAAAAAACAATAACAAAAACAAAAACAAAAAAAATAAAATAAAAATAAAACAAACACAAAAAAACGAGGGGGGGTGGGGGGGGGGGGGGTGGAAAGGTACATTTGTAAATCTACTTCATGCGGGATTTTGAACAAAGTATTTGTTCCTGCTATAAGCCTGTAGGCTGTCAGTACAGAACTACAATATATTTTCCGTCGATAGTAGTATAAATTCAATTCCCGCGCTTGCGCGGGATTTCATCTAGTTACATATATTTTTGTGTCACTTTCAAGCAGAGCGACACTTAAGGATCACTTTGCCTGCCCCCCATCCGTCCGTCCATCACATCTTATACCTTGAGAACCCTTAGAATTATGGATTCAATATTCTGCTCATATTTTGCTTGGGAAAATTAAATGTTTTTTTTTGTAAAATACCATAGTCACCCACCTCATGACCCTTGAATCTGACCTTTGACCTACTTTTCAAAATACACCCTAGTGCTGATATACACATATTCTTTGATCTTTGAGAGGTACCGGTAAGTCCATGCTATTTGGCAAGTGCACTGCTTGTCATCAGACATCTTGAATAATATCAGTATTACAGTCCACCTGACCTTGACCTTCAGGCTATTTTTTGAGAATACTCCAAACTGTTAACATACCTAAGTCTTATGAATTTTGAGAAGTAAGGCTATGATAACTAGCATTTATAAATATGTTTATAACCTCATGACATTTTCTTTTAAGCTGTATTAATTACACTGACCACACAGACTGAAATTTATTAATTGCATTCTGTTAGTAATCGGAACATCATGCAGTCTGCTTCTTCATTGAAAAGGCCTTGTGATGTTTCCATTGTTCAAATACTTTAGATGAAAAGGGATTGGTATACCTAGGTACTTTTGATCATGAATCTAGGGGATTGTTGAATAAAACTTATATGAATAAATATTTTTTTCTGATAAATTTTTTTTGACTTAATAACAGAATAGGCTGCTGTTGTTCCTGACTTCACAGAAAAGTCCATGTAATGTTTCCATTGTTCCATTAGTACAGAATTGGTATACTGACTTCGGCATGTGTGTTTTTATATGAAAAAAATAAAAAGTAATAACATCTCAGTTTAAAAGCTCTGATGACCTTCTCACAAATAAAATTGGACAATCTCTTAGAATAGTTCTGAAGTCACTTTTAAATAACAAAGTTTATATGAAGAAAAACATGAGAATTATGGTAGTCTTTCTCAAGATTTTGATGAAAAGGAGTTATTAAGCAATTTTTTTTTTACTTTTAAAACTGTTCATAAAAGTTTTTGTTTCATATTTATTTATGTATTTTTCAATATGTTAACTTTGAAAGAATATTTTTATGAGTACAATATGTACAGATCTCTGCTCTAAGCCTCATCAGCAAGGCCAACCACATGACACTACTGCAACCAATGGATAAAACAACAACAAATCTGTTGGTAATCTGTTGATGAAAGTTGTCCCTGCAGATGTTTGAGGCTACTGCAATCAGGTTTTGAAGCATATAAAATGGAAAACAACCATCAAACTAGAGAAGATGCAGAGTAAAAGCAACAGTCAACTAATGGAACTTACTGGTTGAGTCATGAATGAGTACATATAAAACAAATACACAATGTTTGAGAAATTTACAAAACAGTTTTGGATCGGTAATACAGGCCAATTGTCCAGAGCATGTTTCATTATATGTTTCACTTCATTAGATGCTAAATCATGAGGTTCAAGTCCAACAAATATCAGCAAGAGTGCACCTGGGAAGTACGAGAAAAGAAGTGCACGAGTTCTGTACCAATTTAACACAAGAAAATGCATACTGGTAAGCTACCATACTTTAAGGGGACACCTTAGTTTGAGGTGGCTGCAGGTCCAAGTTCTTAACATGCTCTAAACTTTTCATGGGTAAAACAAACATCACTAAAACTCCTCACACATGAACCATAATTGATGAATTAGAAGCAAACAAGAAATGCATGCAATAAAATGGATGGGTTGAGAATTTTGCTGTTTGATGTCTACAAGTATTATCTGGTAAGGTGTGACTAAGGCATTATAATAAAGATTTAAATTGAGAATCAAGTGGCAATGATTTATTTTATATATTGATAAAGCCACTCTGTGCTTATAAAGTAAACCAACTTCTTGCCTATTTTGATTTTTATTTGTATATAAATCTTTGAAAGTTACCAAACAAAACAATTTATACCAGTGACTAGAATGGTGTGACTAGCTCCACATGCAATAAATTTGGTCTGCCTTGTGGGAAATCCCTTAAGAAGGCCATTGGAAAAAGCCACATCTTCCTTGTAGCCATGACAATGCTGACCAAATTCTCCACAGCCCCAGGAGATGATGTGATGACCCCCACCTTCATCAGGGTCTCCATCTTCATCAGCGTTCATCTCCTCCTGACTAAGAAAATAAAACAAAAATATCTTTTTACTAAAAAGGCAAATTTTTTCATTACAAATTTTAAGTCTATCAGAGACATAAATAACAGATTTTGCAACTCCGCCATTAATATGTAACGGTTTATGTGACCGTCCCTGCATTACCCTAAAAATTCATTGTGTACCTTGATCTAAACATGGTAAAGTTAATTAATTTTAATTTTTTCATATATGAGTATATGAATTATAAAGTTTTAAAATGTATATTGATTTTTGAAAACAAACTAGGCAAATTAAAGACGCCAATGATCGAAAGTTGCTGAAATCTTAGAGATGCAGCTGAGTTGCACCTGTTGCCATTTTAAATTTCTCCTTTGTTATTGTATTAAACAAGGCAACTGTCAAAAATTATAACATTCTGAATAGTTTGTTAAAATAAATCTGAAGGTTTAAATTTTGCTTCATTCTTGTTGATAATTTTAAAGATTTATGTGATTTAACTTGCACAAGACTTGTAAAAAAAAAATAAATAAATAAAATAAATAAATAATAGGGACCACAAGATATCTCATGAGATTTTGAAGAGTTGTAAATATCTGTTTTTTATGTCTCTGGTTCTATAGAAGCATATTTCCACAAATAGTTAAACATTAAGCTGTATGTCCCCTTGGTCAAACTTAACAAAGGCTTCAACAGAAACAAGAGGCCCATGGGCAACAATAATCACCTGAGTCACTATGGCCCTGCTTTTCTTCATCAGTGGTTCTTCATCAATGAATCTACACACCTTCGGATGCTTCCATACAAATATGACTAATAATGGCTTTGTTGTTCTTGAGAAGATATTTAAGGATTTTTTTTTCTATACATTCCTATAAAAAAACTTTGATCACCCATAGTGGGCCCTTTTTTGGCCTAGTGTTCTTGAGAAGAAGATTTTTAAATGATGCTATTAAAATTTCGCTAATTCTTAATTATCTCCCCTTGAAAGAGGGCATGGCCCTTCAGTTGGACAAATTTGATTCCCCTTCACCCAAGGATGCTCTGTACCAAGTTTGGTTGAAATTTGCTCAGTGATTCTAGAGAAGAAGATGAAAATGTGAGAAGTTTACAACAATGATTTGGGTGACAGCAACTACAGACAATGGACAAATCTGGTTCAGAAAAGTTCACTTGAGATAAGGCTTAGGTGAGCCATAATAAAAATGAAACCATTTTCAATAAAAGAATAATTTTTTCTTAATGAAATAAAATGTGTCTTCAGTATATGTCACCATGTAATATTTCATAGCACACAAATTCACTGACTTAATGCAATGTTAAAATATTAAAAAGGAATGTTTGTCTCTCAATATCCACTTAAAAGTCAAGTATAATGGGAATAATGTTCCTTCTTTAGGGTACAATTAATACTGTTCTGTTCATTCCCAACATGTCGCCTGACATGTGGAACAGTTTCAACATACAAACTTTAAAAATAAGTCATATCATAGGACATATTACAGGGCTATGTTTTTCTTTTACACTTGCAATTGTAACATGTGAATTGGAAAATTAAATTTTCAAACTCTGCAGTCTTAATCTTGTCCAAATGACATTGTTGATGGTCACAACACCATCCAGTCAACAAACCATGTTAAAGATAAGAAAGAACTTCTAACTATTTTTAATACCAAGTTTCAACTAGAACACAGTGTGTGATGTATAATATTTTGGACATCAAGGTTAGGGACAGACAGACTATGCAGAACAATGAAGAGATTTTTTTTAGTTACCCCTCAACTAAACTTCTTTTATTAAGTCGTAAAATACAGTAAATCATGGTTACAATGAAGTCACACTTATTATAATTTTAGGCTTACATAACAGCAAAGTGATTTTCATACCTGAAAGTTTTATAAAGTAATATAAACTTGTCAGATATCACAAATTAGGTTTATAACAAATCAATATTGTCTATCCCTGGCACTTTGCTATAAGCATGTTTAACTGAACTTGAATAAGAGGTGCATTTCAGGACACAATTTGCACTCCCACCCTCTTAAGAAATATAAATTCTGAAACGAAATAATTTCATTATTTATCTGTTTTCATTTTATTTGATTCTCATGTTTTCATTTTATATATAAAAATGACTTTTAAGAATGCTGTGTCTGACAGGGGAAGGTTTCCCCTCCCCTGCACACACACACAACCCTCCCTGAAACCTGAAGAGGGACCTGGACTCGGGTGACTTTACATGTAATAGGGAACAACTGGTTCAACAGTTCTGAAGATGATGATAGAAATGAAAGATATACAAAACCAAAAAATAAAAACCAAATACAATGTCACCTGTTTAATCCTGAGTTTACTGTACACTTACATTGGAGGAAGAACAGCATATTTTTCTTGCCACAATGGAGGAGATGTGAAGTTAATATTTCTATCAAGATTCAGCATATCACTGACTAATTAGCAATCAACTGCTGTCACCATGGAAGTGATTTAAACTAAAAAAATTTAAAATCCACATCCAGAATATCACTGATGATTTTTGTCATAAAAATAAAGCATTGGAAATTCCTTTCATACGCCAATCAGCTCAGTATTTGATCTTAGATTTAACTTGGATATGGAGAGGAAAACCTTGTAAAACACAGTGGTCCCTTGTCGAGAATTCTTCTGAGGTTTTCAACATCACCTGTCTGACTTGTACCATTGTGTTTGACTTTTGGCACAGGTAAATGTTCAACATGGCAAAAAAACAACCAGGTCTTTATGAAAAAACGAGCCCTTTTGCACTTTCCTATCGACAAAATGCCAATAAGTTTCAAATATATCACAATTTCTCTTTTCAAAATCGAATGTTGCTCATTGGACTGGAATTAAATCTCACACTCAGTTTTTATTTTCACTCAGATGCTTGACACAAACATCATGGAAAAACAATTGTCAATTAATTCCTATATTAATCTGAAATTTCCTCGGCTTGAAATCCATATTTTACAAAGGTACTTCGTTTTTCCCCCCCAAAATTAACTTGATTATTTACAGGAAACCATGATCAATTTGAGAATGGTCTCCTCAGTAAAAAGAAAAGAAACAATATTTCTCTTCCTTCAATACAACCTGAACACTTACAAGGAGACCAGAAGAAGAAAAATGTACCTCGTAATTGTTTTCAATCATCTGTTGTTATAAATTTCCACTTAAAACCAACTCTACTGAGATTTCCCTCATATGTTGGACTATGGAATGCATAAGAGCCCTCCATTCAAGAAAACATGTTTTATCAACCTTTAAGGACAAAAAAAATCAACCAAAGCACTTCAGGTCTCTATCTGCAGCAAATACGGGGGTATTTAATTAATTTTTGAATTTTGGTCTCAGGTCAATATCATTATTTTTATACAAACTTATCAATTTATTGACATTCTATTTTTAATGACCATATGGCTGGCAGGTAATACTGAACTTGAAAGTCATTACTTCAATCCCTTCATTTGCAAACAGTGGGATAAGTAGTAAGAAATCTTAACCAAAGCACACTCCATTATGCAACATTCTGTATGCACAATTTACTAGCTGACAAAATCAATCAAGTCAGGCTATATGATTATCCACAATGATCATGAGAGATATAAGCCATATCTTCATTGCATTTAAGAAAAATAGTTGATAGATTCATGACCAAATTGATTATAAATCTATCAAAGACATAGGAAGCTCTAAACACTACTGAAAAATGTTTTTTTGGACATTGAGAAAATTTTGTCATACAAAGTTGTACATAATGAGTTCATTTTCAACATGGGCAAACTGCCATACTTCCAAAGGAAAAATCGTTCAGAGGCAATTAATTATTAGTAAACAGAAATCACTGTTTTTTACTTACATTGGGAAAATATATGTCAATAATTCATTTACTTTATCTTAGTTTAATAATATGTTGAAAATACTCTGATCTATTACAAATTGTGTCATAAACTATATATGTCTGTCTATTTTATCTGAAATCTTTGGGCACAGATTATTGTAGTTACATAAAACTACCCTACAACTAGAATTCTTTAGTGTGCAGTGTTTAGAGCTTCCTTAATTTCTTTGCCAATAGCTATATTACCTAAGCCCGGGGCATAGCTACCTATACGCAAAAACACAGTTGCATACACATTAATTTTCCAAACACAAAAATCTTAAAAAGTTAATGAAAGAGACAGAACACCAAAAAAGAGAGAACAAGGCCCATGAGCCACACTGCTCACCTGAGTTATTATGACCCTGTTAATCTTCATAAGCATTTTTTCCCTATGTATTCCTTTGCAAAACAATTATGTTCTATTGTGACTCCACCATAGCCTGTATAGGAACTAGAACTCATAAGAATGATGCCAATGAATCTGAAGAAATCAGAAAAAAATGTGTTATTAAAGTTGTTTAATGATTATTAATTTACATTGTATTCTCCTGTCTTCGCTTGCTCTTTGTTTGTTTATGTTTGCCACAATGGGATCTTCCGCTGGAAGAGTCCATTTGTTAAATTAAAGATGGGTTCTGCCCGGAGGATGATTCTATGATCTATCCAATCAAATTAGGGGTTCTATCTTCTGGGTTTAGCGCCCCCTATCGGTGGTTAGCTTTCGCCACCTATTTACGTCATTGTTATCCAATCATTTTGTTTGCTCTCTTATTTTCAAATTCGGCAACTGTGCCATCCAATCAAATTACTTTAATCTTCTATTTCAACCCATGTTTTGGCCAGTTAGCATCACTTTCTTATAAAATCCTCTGAGGCAGAATCCACGTCGTTTTATTCCATAATTTAATTTTTTTTTGGTTTTGGTTTTGTTTTGTTGTGTGTCTGTGCATGATGTTATGGTACTTATGTTATAATGTCTAGTGTAGTAATATTAGTTTAGATTCTACCATGATTTCTCAAGATTGTCGAAAATTACCCTTGATTGCTTGGATGATACTTTTATGTTTACCTTGTAACATTGCATAATGAATCATGGTTTTGCCCAAACTGTGAGTTATCTG